CATCTTGATTTAAAAATTTGAAATACTATTAATAAAATTAAAGAATATAAAATTACTGTTCCCAGTTTGATTAAAATTCATGATTAAAAAAAAATTTAAGATATACCTTTTTTCAACAATGTGCCTGATTATTTCCAATATTTAGACCCATCTGGTCTCTTATAATTAGATCAATCTTGATTAAAAAATTTGAAATACTATTGACAAAAAAGAGTAAAAAATTTACTGTTAACTTGAGACTACCCAGTTTAATTAAAATTCATGATTAATAAGAACATATACCTTGCTACTACAATGTGCTATATTATTTCCAATATTTAGATCCATCTTAAATTTGAAAATAGAATATGGCAGTTAGATTCTGGTATGGCATAATCTAATATTTTTAAAATTATATTAATAATAATAATCTGGAAAAAATACATAACTCATAAGAGCTCGTGATGACCAAGCGGTTCGCAAATATTTACATATCGTATTTAGTTGCCAGTTCGATTCTACCTCATGGCTTGTTGCACTTTTTCACAAAACGTTGACAATTTTTCTGTGACATACAAAAAAAATCGTTGTTTTGGAGTAGCGTAAAAATGGGTCTTATTGCATTTAATTAAATTTTATCGTTTTTAGCACGAAAAATATAATCACCTATTATATTATTATTTTTTGACAAAATTTAAAACAAATTATATATATATATAATACTGCTCCTCTCTTTAAGAATTCTAAATAGCTATCGGGATAGAATGCATTGCTTCGAGTTAAGAACATAAATTTAAATGAGTTATTAATAAAAGGTTCTTCGTTGTTGAGGGGGATAACAAAGCGTATTATTTTTTAAGGGATGTCACTATGGTCATCTGTGTAGAATAAAAATTTTTCATAGATTATATAAAATACGCATAATTCGAACATAAAATATTTTTTTGATATAATGTGAATCAATGAATAATTAAAATGTATCATAATCCTTATTTAAAATTTTATTAAATATAAATCCATTATTTAAAATACAAAGAAATCATAAATCATTTGATGATGGGATACGATGAAGTAACCCGTAAAATGTAAGTTTTTCTGTTTAATTGTTAGACAACTTTTTTTGGTGCAACCTATCCACCATTCGAGTATATTAAGAAGCAGGAATTTTAAATCATATGATCTGAGTTTAATATTTGTAAGTGATGTCCTATTTAATAATTTGACAGGGACCATTATAAACTTCGTTCAAAATATTTTGATATTTGACAAAATTTATTATATTCTTCATTTAAAAAATTAAATCCTAAACCTTTTTCTCTTATAATTATAATTGATTTGATTGCAATTGCACTATAGATAAATTTAATTGTTCTTCTTAGTAAGCCAGCGATTTTGAACCTCCATTAATTATCAACTTTTGACTCATCGTCTAACATCGGATTTTATTATTGCTCCTATATATCTATAACTGTCTTTTTGAATCTTTTCTATATTTAAATGATTTCCCTTTAGCATTATCCTTGAAAAATTAAAATATTTGAAAACTACTAAGTACATTTTTTTTAAACTTTAAAGTTTACGATCATATAATATAATATACATTATAGGGTAGTTCTTGGGAACATCAATCACATATATTTATGATAATATTTTTGAGGAAAGGAATAGGCATGAGGATTTGATTTGCTCTACCCAAAGCAGGTTGAGCCAAGCCAGGCTAAAAAAAATTGCACTAAGGAATATGTGCCAAATATTTGTATTGCTACATAATTTGTACAAAATATCTACCGACCTATAATTTAAGAAAAAAATTTAATCCATAAATAAACAACGCAAATTTATGTTTTTTCTTCATAAAAATTAGTTATATAAAAAGAGTGTAAAAAAATCAGACCTGGTCAAGCAACCTGTGCATAATATTAAATATTTCCTCCAGAGATAAAATTTTTTACGGCCTGTCTAAAAAGAACATTTATAAAATTTTCATGGTCGATTAAGATTCTAGCCAAAATAATATGTAAGATTCAAGATAGTGGTCCAAACCTTTCTTACATGCGCAAAATCTCCAGGCTTACATAATATTGGCTACTAATCAACATACCTTATAATGTGGTAAATTGGTTCACAAAAGAACGGTATAAATATTGGTTGTTAATTTTTTTGATATTGTAAATTTTTTTATTGATATTACACATTAAGAAAATAAATTGAGATTTTTGTAAACATTCAAAATGACTTCTATTCAATCCTTTTTTTATACTAATAAATTTAAAATAAATTGCAGCTGTATTAGATACGCGCCGAATTGTCGCCGCGCTGAATTAACGCTGCACCGAATTGACGTTATACGATAAAAAATTATTAGGCCGAGCCAGACGTGAATAATTACGATCAGAGAGAATATTATACCTAAAATAAAAAAATAGATCATATTTCAGACACTCTTCAAAGTTTTCAGGTGGTTTGAGCCCATATTTGCCCATTAATAACAGCGCTGATTTATTGGCGTACGCAGCGGGGGGGGGGGCAGGGGGACAAATCCCCTCAAAGCCAAAAAATGCAGATGCCGGATATATTTTTCAAAAATATTTTTATTTAGAGTTTTGTGCAGATTTAATTTCAAACATTTCCATATTAATTCGTTTGTAAATAAAAATTTTAACTTGTAAAAATTGATAAGAATATATATAAATATGTTATTTTAACAACTTTTTACAAGTCAAATAATTTTATTTTCAAATAAATTAATAAATATGGAAATGTTTTGAATTAAATTTACACAGTACTATATTAATTTATATTTGTTAATATTTATTCCTATCTCATATTAAATATATATTTAATTACATTTATTATCATATTCATCACTAAGTTTATCAATTAATTTCGATTTCAAGTTCTCCGGCGTAATATTATCTTATTATTTTCAAATTTTTAGTGGCGTAATATTTATCTACCATTTTTAAATTTCTAGTCAAATAATAATTATTCTGAAATTGTCCAACAGGGAGAAAGAAATTGCAACCTTGTCCTACGAGATAGAGTCTCCGCCATCAAGCAGTAACAGCTTTTATGAAGTTAGAAGAGCCGATTATTTGCTATTACTGACATATCACAATGGCCTGAAAGAAATTTTTCATTAGAAGCAAGAAAATTATTGGATTCAATGCTTATTCCAAATTTTTTTTCTCATTAGAATGTTCAACTATTTTATGTATTACTTTTCAAAAACATGATGACTTGATTAAGAAGATGAGAATAGCGGAGAGCATTTTATTAGAATTCAAGGAAATTAGGGCTAATGTTTATGAAGAATTTCATATTTTATATGTTATTGTTAAGTCAAAAGCAGAGCTATACGTGTTTAATATTTGTCTCACTCGACTTGCAGCAAGGCAAGCTCATAATTAAAACATTAATATAGGATCAGTAGAAGAGTATATCTTAGATACAAATACATTTATAAACCAAATAAATGAATAGTTTTTAAATCATTATGCAGTACTTACCAATCTGCAAATATTATTTTCATAAAAGCCTTCCCAACCTTTTTCAGATGGTGATAGAAAAAAAATATTTGTTGGATTTTTATCATGAGAAGATGTTAAAGTATCTTATGATGCCTTATTAGCTGAATAACTATGTTTATAAGATTAACTATGGTTGATACAGTCCCAAGAAATGCTATGGATGCTCTGCATTATTTCAAACACATTTTAGATTTTTCCCAATGTATTAAAAGGGTTTATATATATTAGCAACTCTTCCCAATAGTAAACTAATGAGAGAACATTCTCTTTTTTAAGAAGAATAACAGAGCCCTGCAGAGGTACCATTTGCAGGGCACGAACCGGATTTTTTTAAAGATTTTTACGGCTAAGCTCAATTTTCAGGCCCGGACCGGCCTTTTTTAAAATAAAATTTTCAGGCCCGACCCGGATTTTTTTAAAATAAATTATATTTATTTTTGATTTTTATAGCTAATAATAATGATTTCAAATATAGGCTGTTTTAAAATATACAGTCCGGCCCGGATATTTTTTTTAAAAAAATTTTCAGGCCCGGCCTAGATGTTTTTTTAAAAAAATTCAGGCTCAGCCCTGGTTATTTTTTATTAAAAATTTCGAGCTCCTGCAGGTCTCTGAAAAACATACCAAGAAGTACAACTTTTGAAAGTAGATTGAAAGGTTTGGATCTTTTGAATATTCATAGGCATTTGACAACAAGCAAGGATGAGATAATTGAAAAAATAGCTCAATAACGAAGATTGGATTTTACATTGTAAATATATAACATACAAATACAATTATTCCCTAAGCTTTTTGTGTATTAATTTATATTTCTAACATTTAAATTTTTTATACTTTATATATAAATTTTAAAGCTCAAAAAATTCAAATTTCTATTTTGGGTCGATTCTTTACATATAATTTTTTTATAATTCACACTAATTTAAAATTGTGTATTAGAAATAGTTATTAGTCCTAATAAATTTATGCTTGATATTTTTAAAAAACAACAATATTTCTTAAAAAATTTTATTACCCCCCCCCCTAGACCAAATTCCTGCGTACGCGCCTGCGCTGATTAAATGGACATCTTATAGAAGTTTAAAATATTTATTATATTATTATAATTATTATTTAAATTTATAATTACAAACATAATAAAAATATAATAATATAGTATTATAAAATATAATAATATCTTATTATAAAATATAATAAAATAAATAAAAAATAAATATATATATATCGCATGCTGCTTTTATGTGATAACATTATTTTTTATTGATTATTTTAACCTATGAATAAAATATAAATTTTTAATCGCCAATAAAAATACACAAAATAATAAAACTATTTTCAAAATTTATCGTCTGGTTTTTTAATCCTAAATAAAAAATTGGATTGATGACAAAAATAAATTGCCTTAAATTAAAACAATCATGGCAAAATAAAAAGGTAATCACCCTAAATCAATGAATATCAATCTTCCTAACTTTTCTCGGCGGGAGATAACTGATATATAATAAAAAAAATTCAATTAAAGATTAATCTATACTATATTTATATATCAACATTCGTTTATGGATTCAAACATTGGTATCCTTTTGTTATTCGTACATTCCTCAATTCTATATCTCAGCGCCCAAAGTAATTAAACACTTACCTTCTGTCGTGTTCTTGTATATAAAATGAATATATTATATACAATAAATATTTATTATTTTGCAAGCTATTTTTTAATTGACATATTGATTCATATTTTATCATTAGAATAGTAAACTCGCGGTTACGGGTTAAAATTTTGAATAATTAATTTAATATTAAAGCAAACGAATATTAATAAAATACTCGATGACTATTATTAGTCAGCCACTCCTCTCTCTAACTTAATTAATTTGTAAAATATATAATATAAAATAAATAATATATTTTTTTAATGATATTTTTCACATTATTTATTCTGAAAACGTAAAAGATTTTCGTCTATTATTAAAAAAATTCAATTCAAACAATATTTGTAAATTTTTTTATCATTTTATTTATCAAGTTGAATTGAAACTAATTACATGGTAAAAATTTGATCGATCATCATTACATTATGTATTATTCTCGACTATTTTTAAATATTAAATAGAATAATATATACAGGGAAACCTCTAGATGATCTACGACTAGTTGATGGTCATATTTAAATTAATCAATATAATCAAGGCAGGTCCGAAAAGGTTGAAGTTTTAGATTCGTCACAGATTTAAAAAAATTTTCATTTTCCATCCCAGTCCTTTTTTGAAAATTTTTTCTGGCTCATATTTTTTTATCTTTTGTCATTGCGGCCCTACCCAAAATTTGGTTATTTTTAATAGCTGTATTTTTGTAAATTGTTTCAAGGGTACATTGAAAATATGAGCAATTGATATAATTTAAATTTATTTTCTTAAAATCGGCCCCTCCCATATTTTGTAAAAAAAAATTATTTTTGTCCTGGGTTTATTAATATTAATAAAATTAATTTTATCAAGTCCATATGCCAGACCCTAGCTTTGGTCCAAGCCTACAATTCTCTGATTTTAATGGAGGGTCAATGTCAATGGCCTAATCAAGTTGAGGTAAGGATAGCGAAAATTTTTTAAATATTAAAAAAATTTTGGCCGGGCTGAGTCAGACTCAAAAAAAATATGATATCATTATAGTTTGTCAAATAAATAGATACTTTTTAAATTTCCTGCAAGAAACAAGACGCTAATATTTTTTTTATTAAATTTTTCTATATAAATGGGCCAGGGGACAAATAATTTTTATTTCTGGGCAGGCTTTTCGGAATAATTAAAAAAATCCGTTTGAGATCAGGCTAGGAAGAACAAATTTTTTAAATAAAATTCCGGGCCGGGCTTGAAAATTTAGGTTCGATTATCACTACCATATACCCTCCTGAACCCCTTTTTACCATAAATAAACATAAAATAAACAATAATTATTTGAAATAATATGCACTTTGATAACTTTATAAATTAATGACTAAATAAATTTTTCAAATAAAAATCGCTTTTTAAAAAAATGTAGCCCGGCTAAAGGTTGACAAAAAGAAGATTGTACTTATTTAATTATCGATTTGTAATAGTTAATTCTCATTATTTCTACAAAAAAGTTTATTAACAATTCTGTATTAACATAATGATAAATATGAGGCTGTGCCGATATTAAATATCTTATCGGATCGGCACCGATATTTAGCGTTTTCCAAAAATATCGGATCGGGCCGATACCTGTAAAACCTCGATCCGATCTTTTTATGTATATTTATTTTACATTAATAATTTTTTCTAATAATTTTTTTTTAAACAATGCAAATGCACAACACCCCTTAAATTTTATTTATTTTTTAAAATAGATTTATAGTATTTAAAAGTTTTTTTATAAAAATTGAAAAGAACACCCAATTATTTATTATAATTTTTAAATAATAACGCCAATTTTATTATTTATTTATACTTTAAATAAAAGAATTTTTTAAAATATGGTATCTCTGAATTATGGAAATATTTTACAAAAGACAAGTATAATTTTGCAAAATGCGTTATCTGCGGGATTCTAATTTCACGGGGCGGAATAATGAAAAATTCATTTAATACTACCAATATCCGTAAACTTTTTTAAAATTATTGTAGAAATAAAAAAATTAAATTAAATGCATATTCGATTTTTTACATAAATATTGATTTCTTAATTATATTTTGTTCAAAGGGGGGTGGTAAAAAATCAATATAAATATCGGATTGGTATCGGATCGGGTTTGAACCAATATCGGAAAATATCGGATTGGTAAAAAATATTTTGATCGACACAGCCCTAATAAATATAAACGTATTATATAACCTAAAATGATATTAATACTAATAGGCTGACGAATTATATTAAAAGTTTACATTCACTGAAGTAAGGTGTAGTAGTCAATATCATGGTTGTGGTAGGCGCCATTGAAAGAATTTTTTTAAAATTTTGTTTAAATGCTGACTTAATGCATATACACCTTTTATAATGTATTTCAATGAAGGTTAGTATAAATGTCATTAGTTTATATATATATAAAACTATCCGTGGGAACGTTAATTTGAAAAAAAAATAATCATATAAAATGAAATTAGCCTATCCTGTACACAAAAATTAATAATTAAAAACGACCAAACAAATCTTAGTTGATTTTTCTGAAAATGGAATCCTGATTTTCAATCTATGCGCAATCGCACGCACACCTCCCAAAAACATTATTTTCTCGAAAAATTTTTATATTAAAAAAAAATTAAAACACTTTTAATTCAATCAAATCAAAACCATAAACGATACAATAACTACAAATGTTGAATGATTTGAAATTTAAAATTGAAAGTGGAAATTATTTATTTTTAAAATGTATATAAAATTACATTTATTCTTTTATTATTAAAATATCATTTTTAACATCTTTTCAACCCATTTAATGTCTCCTATCAATCGCACCTATATGAAAAAATAAGAGTTAGAGCTATGCCTTTTTTAATTAAACCTTTTATTTTATGTTATTTATTTTAATAAAAAAATCAAATATATACTCTGGGTTTTGTTAATTTTCCTGTTCGGTCCAACCATTTGGAGGATTTAGTTTTCGAATATATAAAGTAATTATGTTTAGGTAGATTTTAGGATTAAGTCCTCTAAATAAGGCAGTCTGATTAGATCGACCCGGATCATTAACAACGTTTATACATACTCTAATGTTATTATTATTTTTTAAATAAGGGCTTGGTTTTTCTTATATAATTATAATATATTGCTTGATTATATAAATAAAGTAAATGAAATGTAATAAAGAGGTAACATTAATAATTTTTGTTAAGTGCCTACTCAAAGACTACCCGTTGAACTAATTTCTAAAGAAAGAAAGAGGAAAGAAGAGAACGAAAAAGAAATAGTGTTGTTAAACGGCTCGTTTTGAGCCTATTTTTAAAAACGGCTAACTCAATATTTCATCCAAAATAATATTACGCAAGCCTGAAGATTTTGCTTGTAGAAGGAACAAAGGTTTGGACATCTATTAGCAAAATCTTGAGGCTTAGACAATATTTTTCTGGCTAAAAAATTGAGTTAGCCAAAAAATCGGCTCAAAAACAAGCCGTTTAATAACACTAAAAAAGAAAAGACATAAAAAAATAGACTTCAACTCTAAAATGCAAGTCCCTTAAACATTCATGAAAATCATACAAATCAATATTTATACGAATAAAATACAGTGATATTTTTTAATAAAAAAATGGTTTGGTTACAATCTTCTTTTTGTGGTACTAATAGTTTATGTCAATTATTATATTTAATATTTATATTATATATCGATTTTTATAAATACAACTGCAAAGCACAAATATCTGCTTCATGACAAAAAGGAAAAAAAAATGGGGGAAAAATTAGTCATTAAAGGTTAAAAAGCTTTATTATAAGTATAAATATTATATTAATAATTTGTTATATCCGGCCGTTAATAAATCCTATAATCAATAAATGCTAAATATTTGATGCACATTTCCAGTGTAAATATGGTAAGAAATACATATTCAACTAATACAAATACCTTATTAAAGGTATAGTATATAGAATACCTGATATATTTGAAAATTACATCCTGTAAATGTGCCTATGCGCCATAAAAAATTATAATTTTTGATTATAAAAATTATATATTACTTACGAAGATTATGTTATTATTAAAACTGCTTTTTAAATGATGTCATATGGAACTCTCAAAACTACTCAGGCATCCATTTTATGTAAAATTTAAATTTGTGGATAGGTTTGTTCAAATAAAGTATAATTTTTTATAAAAGATGGTTTAATTTTTAATTAATAAGACAATTAATATATTTTATATTTTTTAACAATTGTAGCATTTTAATATTTGGTGAAATAAAATTTTGTCCAAAATAATTTTTTTTAGCCGCATATGCATTTATATATTTATGGTTAAAATGAATAGCCATCGGTTTAGTATTCTAGAATAAGATCAGAGCCTCACAAGAACCCCAGGATCATAATATCCTCGTCCCCTATTAATTTATACTCCGTGAGGGGCATATGGAGGATATTTTCACGAATACTTGTAAATTTGCATGGTACCTGTCTACCATCTTTTAATTTTTAATACTTTTTCAAATTTATCATTAGATTATAAATAATATCATAGAGATATGTATTAGATTTAACAATATTCATCTTCGATATAAAATTAAGATGAATTTGACTTTTGTTCAGTTAACAACTTTCTTTCCTATTATTAATACTTCCCTAATAATAGATTTTGTAAATGCATCCTTCCCTCCTGACATTCATCAGTAACCTATCGATGTTTGAAATAGTGAGAGTCGCTAAAAGGGTCATTTTATATTCACTGTCAGAATTTAAAAAAATTCGAAATCTTTTTAACCTTTTTCTATATGAATAAATAATCTTGAATATAAATATAAGTATAGACAAATTTATTTTACAGATTTGTGATGAAAATATGGTAAATTGTGTCAGTTATAATATTAAATATAAAATTTTAGACATATTATATTAGTGATAATGATAAGAAATAATCAATGCATCAGCAAATTATTCAAACTTAGTTAGAACTGCCTTCA